AAAAGCAGGTATTTCCCTTCAACTTCAATCTTTGCTGCTGATTTGAAACAAAACTCTTCCTGGATATGGAGATCTTTGTGGAAAGTGAGGGAACTTCTGAAGGAAGGGCTGCAGATTGACATAAGAAATGGTGCAACTGTAAGATTACAAGATTTTAACTGGATCCCTGGCATAAAAGGAAGGTATCCCCATCTCAAGAACCCTCCAGCTACTGGGAAACTGTGGGTCAAAGATCTAATTCAAAGAGATAATGGCCAATGGGATGAACTCAGACTGAGAGAGCTGATTGAGGAAGAGGATTGTAGAGAAATTCTCAAAATCCAAACTCTGGACCCTCTTCTTGATGATAAGTGGAGCTGGAAGATGGGTGTGAAAGGTAGATTTTCAGTAGCCTCCTCTTATAACTATCTTCATCAAAGGAAAGTTCTTTCTCTGGACTTACCTGAGGGCAGCAGCACATCCAAAAGAAATGCAGCGGTTAGACTGAGAACTTGGAATTTACATGTCAAAGGCAAACTGAAACATTTCTTGTGGAGATGTTTGAATGACATTCTACCAGTCAACACAAATCTCAGAAGCAGAGGAGCTGATGTTGAAGTCAGGTGTAGATGTTGTGGTGAAGCTGCTGAGACAGTAGAACATGTGCTACTGAATTGTCCTAGAGCTCAGAAGGTTTGGCAGAGGTCCAAGGTCTCATGGAGTGAGATTCCAACACAGCAAGGGTGCAGTTTCAAAGACTGGTGGGGCACTATATGCAATGTTAAACACACTGAGGTNAAAAGCAGGTATTTCCCTTCAACTTCAATCTTTGCTGCTGATTTGAAACAAAACTCTTCCTGGATATGGAGATCTTTGTGGAAAGTGAAGGAACTTTTGAAGGAAGGGCTGCAGATTGACATAAGAAATGGTGCAACTGTAAGATTACAAGATTTTAACTGGATCCCTGGCATAAAAGGAAGGTGTCCCCATCTCAAGAACCCTCCAGCTACTGGGAAACTGTGGGTCAAAGAACTAATTCAGAGAGATAATGGCCAATGGGATGAACTCAGACTGAGAGAGCTGATTGAGGAAGAGGATTGTAGAGAAATTCTCAAAATTCAAACTCTGGACCCTCTTCTTGATGATAAGTGGAGCTGGAAGATGGGTGTGAAGGGTAGATTTTCAGTAGCCTCCTCTTATAACTATCTTCATCATAGGAAAGTTCTTTCTCTGGACTTACCTGAGGGCAGCAGCACATCCAAAAGAAATGCAGCGGTTAGACTGAGAACTTGGAATTTACATGTCAAAGGCAAACTGAAACATTTCTTGTGGAGATGTGTGAATGACATTCTACCAGTCAACACAAATCTCAGAAGCAGAGGAGCTGATGTTGAAGTCAGGTGTAGATGTTGTGGTGAAGCTGCTGAGACAGTAGAACATGTGCTACTGAATTGTCCTAGAGCTCAGAAGGTTTGGCAGCGGTCCCAGGTCTCATGGAGTGAGATTCCAACACAGCAAGGGTGCAGTTTCAAAGACTGGTGGGGCACTATATGCAATGTTAAACACACTGAGGT